GTAGAAGACACAGTATACGTCACAACAGAATTTCATCACAACCGGAAATAAGAAAACAATAGTGTGATGTATACTGTCTTCTGCACCAAGTAAGAGCCGTTTTTCCACAGGATATTTTTTGACGACAAGGATGACGGAGGTGTCAAAGCTGTTGTATTTTGTTTATTTATTTATTTATATATTTATTTGTCAAGAAAAATGTTCATGGTCAGAATTTTCTTTGAAACTCTTTTTGGGTCATCTGTGCAAGTAAAGTGCGTCCTAGACGAGATTTTGCTTAACAAGTCTGTGTTTGAAATTTTCCGTATGACTTCTTCTAGATATAGAGATTTTGCATGAATTTTACTTAAGAGAAAGGTGCCAGTGTAAGTGCAACTGTGATGACTCTGGTAGTAAATTTGAATTCTGCTGAAATCAAATTTGTCTCCAGGATCTGTGAAAAAGGAGTATACGAACCTGTTCCAGAGTTTCAAGAATGCATGGAATGCTTGCAAGTCATTTCTCGGTAATTAAACTACAATGATTGTTCCATTTTTCCAGAATACATGAAAGAAGGCTTAAGTAATTCTTGTGACCAAATTTCTTTTATTTGTAAATAGTGCTTGTGCGGTTACTTAATAATTTATCTGAACGCAGTGTGGTGAGATAAAAAAGGTGGTGATGCTAAATTTAGATTCCAATGGGGAGTCAAAACTTAGTCTGATATATGATATACTGATATATATAAATGGGGTCTTTTTCTTTTGTTATTCCTTTCATCAATCGAACTTTTTTGATGTGGTTTTATTTCAAATCAGACACAAAATTAGTGTTTTCGTTGATTCTTTGCTTTAGCAGTTTTACCTTGCCCGTCTTTGAGTACTTTTACCTGGTCCTACTTTTTTTGTTATTATTTACATGCCAAGGTCGCCTGCGCGTCCCACAAGACCTTTGTAATACCACAATGAACAAAAACTGTCCATTTGCGATGGTTCTCCCCTGCACCACAGGGATGGGAGTTTGTTCGACCTCGTTCACCTTCTTCCTGGTTAATGCAAATAACAAGTCTCTGTGAGCCTATCGTAGTGAAACTAGTCAAGACAGGTACATAATTTTATAATGAGTAGCTTACGTGTTGCTGTTATCCATTTACCCTCTCTAGAAGCAAATAATTGATCCACGTAATCTGACTCGTGCTATATAAACGTAAATTACGTTTTTCTACTTAATTAAGGTCTGGGGTGTTTGTCAAACTGACTGAGCTGCAACATGAGACCGATATCAGCATCCTGCAATCAGTTATCGTCTCCTCCAAAGGCAGCTTTAGAATGAAACATATCATGAATTGGGGCTATTATTTTCGAGAATAATGTACATTAGAAATTGTTACGATGTAGATGAAAATCATTTGACCACCTAAGCATAGGACAATTACTACAAACAATTACAGTCATTAGTGTACATTCAACTCACTATCTCTTTTCTGTTTGGCCGAAAGCCTTCGGTAAATTTTCGAAATTAACGCCTAAGACGTCATCTTATATCGTCAGATTATACAAGAATCATGTCAAGGACACTCAAGGTTACGGGTAATCATGTCATGTATGACTGCAGTGTATGATTTATAGGGGTAATCAGGTCAAGTTCGCGCACTTTGGTGTTGCTTGCTGATTTGTATATTTTTACACGTTAAGAAATAAATGATCAGTTCCACCTACTACTGAGACCTTTTTTTTCGTTCAATGTATAATAAAACAAATATTAGACTCGGTTTTGGTGATAACCAGAACAATCGAGGTCTTGGTAAGGGTTATCAGCCGGCTTATCCTTCGGCTTCGGCTAATAACCCCTATCTCGACCTTGATCATTCTGGATATTACAAAAACCTCATCCAATAATTGGTTATAAGTATGACCCAACTAAACACCTCATCTGTAATATTCTCTTTTATTTACAGTCCCTTGGAGCGTGTCTCCGTATCAGAGGTGACCTTGTCGCACTTAATAGCCCATGATCCTGAGAGAGACCTTGTGCCCCTCATCCTGGCTCGTTGTAACTACTCTCTGGAGGTGGGAAAGGAGACCCCAGTTCACTATGATTGGGCGGCTCTTGACAGACAGCTGATTGACAGGTTGTTGAGGGGGAGGCCTTTTGTCGAGTTCAGGGTAGGGTGGAAGTATTGAGAACACATAGCACATGACGAGGAAAAATGTTTTAATGAAGAACACTTTACTGCGCCTTGTCGTCCAATTTTCCCTTAATTTCCTCTCTAATTGAAAGTTCTTTTCGTATTTGACAAACGAGCTTGTTGTTCAAGTCCACGCTCTATTCTTTTTAGCACTGGTATTTAAAGTGTGAATTGAAAATAGTGAAATCCTGATATTGCTAATTGCTAGGGAAGAAGAGACAGTTTACGGCACACTCTCTTGCGGCTTTAGAAATCCTAAACTTTGAATAATTTTCCTTGTGAAGTACTGTAGTTTAACAGGACGAAGATCTAAGTACAAATTTGTGGCAGCTTTAAAGATTACTTGGAATGTTATTTAGCCTACAGAGGCTTGAAACAAATCCCAGGAACCGAGACAGCATCAAAATGGCGTACCTAAAGGACGTTTGGAACTCCGCTGTCCAGATTAGTGACGACAGTTTAATCTTCTGCTTGAGAAGCAGTCAGTTCAAAACTCTAAGACAGTGGTGCGGTCCGTTTTTAAAGTCTAAGTAGTCAACTTCTTTTTAGTCGGTTAAATTAAATGAATGTTACATGCTGAATTTTCGTAACAGTTTGGCTCCTAACTTCAGTTTTCTCTCGTACAATAATGAGGTACTAGGTACATGTAATCATAAATTGATTTGAAAATGTTGGCATGTAGTAAATGCTGCCACTTTTTTAGCTACTTTAAGGTACTTCGTTGCTGTAGTTTATGAATAGGGCCGGCCAGTTTCTTTTAAATACCACGTATATTTACCTTTAGTTTAATTAGAATGTTAGGAAAAATTCTTCTCGATGCCCCCTCTGCAAAAATAGTAGAAAAACGGGAGCTTTTATGTAGCTGAAATCTAAAGCGGGCTGGTATTATCAATTAATTTTTCATAATTTTCCCCTAATACACTCTAAAGATGACTTAAAATGCTACAGGGGAGAATGATATTAGCATAGCATGCAAGTTTGAACCGCACTTTGAATTGATGTTAAGTTAGTATAGAAAAGTACATATTCCATTTAACTTTTGCGTAAATTCTTTCTTTGCTGCTGTTGGTGTCTTCAAATGTGATGTAATAAGCAACCAACCCAAAGTTATGCTTGGGAAAAATTTTTATGCGCACACGAATGGCCCTGATGGAAAGAGCCTTTGTCGCAATACTTCCTGCTGTGATTGTAATCGATTCAATTATCCGCTTTTCCATCTTTTCCATCTGCCAATTTAGTAAAAAGAGCATCAGAATACAGTCCATCAGTTTTGTGCTCCTTTGTTCTACTTCATAATAGATCAGAACTATCATTTCCTCGAATAAGCGCCCAGGCTCTTACTTAAAATTTCGACCGAAAGGAGGCGGGCCAAGGGGCGAGGAAGGGGGCGCTTATTTGAAGGAGGGCTTTACACCGAAGGGGGCGATTATAAAGTTTTCCTTTCAACGAAGTGTCACTTAATTTTGGCTAACTCTTAAATAGAACAATAAAATCCATGACATTATACAGATACACGTTAAGTCAAAATTAACTCTAAAATTAACAGAGGGCGACACAATCATTTGCCTGAAAAATTACAAGAAAAAAGCCAAGGAGTATGACGACAAAGCAATCGGAACTTACAAAGTGAAGCATGTGCATGGCATTGACAGTTTAAAGCCTGTTGGTCACGTTTTGATTGAGCTGTTATTTCTTATTAACTGTAGTCTCATCGTCCGGCTGAGTGTATTCCTGAGAAGGAGTGTTGTCGTTGGTGGTGACTGACGTTTTAACAACCTGAGCGGAAGTCATCATCAGAGTCAAGTGAATGTTTGTAGTCAGTCGGAATATACTAGGTCCGGTTCGTGTAAACTGATCGGTCAGTCTAGCCGTAATGTTATCGGTAAGTCGGTCGTGTTTGGTTAGTTTCGATCCGTCTGTAAAACCGAACAGAGCGACCTTTTTAAGTGCTATTTTAAACAGCGCGCAACGCTTGAAGGTGATTTGAATTTATCGCTCCTATGATAACGCGGGTAATATCCCAATGTCAAACGTCATTGCGGCTCTCGGTATTCAAGCCTTGTAACTAAGTAAACTTGATTCTACAAATTTCCAACTGATGTAAATGGTTGATACACTATCTTATTACAGGCCTTAATGATATATCGGCCCACAATGAAATGCGTAAATCAATCAAATACAAGCTAACCATTGATTTGCTCCTTGACAATTTCTTAAATTCATCACAAACAATATAGGCGCCCTGTAAGACCATTAATCGTCCTATAATTTTCCGCCAGTTGATTAAAGTTGTACCCCATAATAACAACCGAATTTAGAGAACGATAACTATCTGGTAGAGGGAAAGTAAATTTTTAAATGAACCGCTCGGTCGCAAGACAGACAAATTCTGGGATTTCGCCGACGTTAAACTCTTTGTGGTATGTTCAAGTTACTCTGACCTCTGACAATAGCAAATCAGTTCTCTTGATTTCCCCCATATACGATCTATAACCAGTGTTAATTTTATTCTTATTTCATTTGTGTTGTTACGAGTTACCTTGACGGCCAGACCGGTGCTGGAGTGTCATCCGACATGCGGCGAAGATACCTGTTTGCGTCCATTGTATGATAGCGTTAAACTCTCCAGTGTGGAAAAATTTACCTGAACATCGTAAGTCGTTAATATTTTAGGGAAGGATTATCTCAAATTGTAATTTGAGAAAACACATTTAAAGTTTGTTTACGTTCTGAATCGGAATTCGAAATAGATTTTCTGTAAAAATGGATTGACCTTAGAACTAATATTTTAAACAGTATTAAGCTTAGATGATCAATCACCAAACGGTTGAAAATGTGGCAGATTTTGACTCTCGCTTTGGTAACTTTTTATCCCTATTTTGCCGACTCGTGGAAGAACTCGTCAATTGGTGCCCGCTCAACTGGGTAGGTCGTTTCTTCCTTTTGTCAGCTTTGCGTACCACTTGAGAAACTCCATTAAGTCCCTCTCTAATAAATTCTCTCGGCACCTTGTATACATTTTCTCTTTAACCATGTACAGGATTATTGTGGTTAACTAGTGTGGCATTAGTTGTCTATTACAATGCAGCGCCATCTTTGCATGGTACAAGTTGGTGCATTTATTTTTTATAATTGAAAAATCCGCGGAAATGAAATTTGCTTCAGTAGAGTGATGGCAGATTTCAAACATTAGGGCAAATTTTTGAATGCAGAGTTTGGACTGAATAACAGCTGTTGCTTTCAAGACTAATACACACATGAAAAACTGTCTTCGACGCAGATTTCACTAAGTTGGTAGTTATATCTGTGATATACCATTGATAAACGATCGACACATAGGTTTCCTCTGATAACTGTGCATGCAAATGCTATCGTCGAATAGAGATGCTCAGAAACGAAAATTATCTGTATTTGGCAACGTTTGGTAATACAGGTAGAATCGTGAGCGCCTGAAATTCTGAGCCGAGTGTGTCATATATTTGAAATTCTGTACTAAGTTTAAATCCCCTTGTTACTGGACATATTCACACTACCGTTTATCATAATTTTTGTCTGCCACTTAATAGCGTCATACAGGATTGCACATTTTGGTTTAGTGCTTACTCAGTGTGTATCGCATTTAATATTTCTTATAGAGGACACAACCCCTCGTTCGTTTGGGTAACTCATGAGCCATTTGCCTTCTGGCAGGATAAAGATTTGTATAAAAGCATCAATGATCTCAGTGTCACAGAAGACGACATTAACAAGGCAATCCACATAAATGACATTACTGATCCTTGCCGTGTGACGACACTGACGAACAAAATATTCCGGGGTGAGCCTGTCAAAATGATTGTGATTGGTGGATCAAATTCAGCCGGGGGTGGAATAAAAAATCACAGGCGTTTATATCACCAACTGTTCTCTCAGTGGTGGGACAAAGTGATTTCAACAACGACTGGCTCCAAGTTGACGGTAGAAAATTTGTCACTTGGAGGGACAGGAAGCGATTTCTTTACATTTTGCCTGCAAAATTTCATAAAAACAGATGATGAACCAGATGTAGTGTTTATCGAGTTATCAGTAAACGATTATGGATGCATACACGGTGCAACAGCGCGGCCCATGGAACTCCTCACGCGACGAGTATTATCCTTGAAGTCATTTCCATTAGTTCTGTACGTAAGCTTGGTTGATTTGGTCAAGAAGGGTGCTTCTCTTAGCACTGCTAAGAACCCAAGATGTCATAATTTGGAAGATTTGGGACAACACGAGCTCGCAACTCATTACGGAATTACCTTGCTAAGCTGGCGTGACATACTTTGTCCAGTGAATTCAGCTAATGGCATCCGAAAAGCCATCATACGGCCGGGAATGGTTAATGATGATCATCTGCATATTGATATTAAAGGACACGCTCAAGTGGCTCTCATGCAAATCCGTTACTTTCAGAAGATTCTTCAACGAACGAGCCAGCAGCTGTTCTGTGAGAAATCTCCAATGAAGGACCCTTTATTTACCAGCAGCTCGATACTGGTTACAAACCCTCATTGTTGGGCATCTACAAACCCAAGATGGGGAAAATCCACTGTGCACCAGTCTCTTGATGTAAAGGTCAACAAAAAACGGCGCTTCAGCGAGCTTCCATTAGAAAGCATCAAAGCAAAGATGGGCTTTCCATCAGACCGTCGAACTGATGCGTTCGGTGGCTGGGTGTCTCTTCGACAAGGCAGCTTTATAGAGTTCTCCTTACAAGTTCCACCCAAGAAATGGTCTGTAGGTATCATTTTGCGAAGAATGAGGCAAAATTCGGGTCGTGTAGTGATGTGGCTCGACAAAGACAAAAAGAACGCGGTAGCCATAATTGGGAAAGCTTTCGGTAACGTTCATTATCAAACTCGTGTTTACTTCGTGGCTTCAGACGTGCCTCAGGGCCGTCATACCATTAGCTTGGAGTCTCAAGGTAACAAAGCTATTTCTCTTTTAATAAACGGCATCGTGTTGGGCCCTGCAGGGGTTAAAGGATTTAAAGGATATAAACCTACAGGAACTTTAGAAAAAGTTTGGAGTCTCGAGGACTACAAAAAGTTTAAATTATAATCCAGAATATGGAGTCGATATTTTGAAATGAGGGAAAAAATAAAAAGACAACTATGTAGTCTATTCTCCTTTGAAATAGTTGGTTAAGATACCGGTGTGAATGTTCAATCATTCCACCTTTTTCTCTGATTTTAGTAAAAATTCCTTTCCATACCTGCTGTTTTCAATTTTTTTCTACCTTTCACAGATAGAGACAGACGTTTTAGAGTCAGTGGCTATTGCGATATGACTCAGTAAAAAAAAACGTCAGGAGACGAAGGCTTTATAGAAAATAACTTTATGAACGTTTAAACCCTTAAAATTTATTTGTAAAGGTACTATTCTTGGATATTTCTTGGGTTGCACTGTCCGTATAATCATGTAATCATCTAACGTCACCTTGAGGCATCGTTGATGTCTATGAGGCAGAAGTCATCGCTAACTATTACTAGCCAAAAGTTTTGGTTAATTCGTGTGCATTGGTGTGCTCTTGTATAACGTGCTATTTAAAATGGCTAAAAGTTTTATTTATGAGCTGCCTTTAGTGTACGACCTTATTTTATAACGTCATGTTACCCTTTCATGCTCATAATTTTTCTGGTAATATGTAAATTGATTTTTCTTATATTCTAATCTGGAAAGGGTCTCATCTCAGTAGTATATTTGAGCTCATGCAGAATGTCAAATGAAAAATATTTGAAAAGAATATACCGGTAAATCATGGGAAATAGTTTGGAAAGTACTTGAAAGTATAATAAGGCATGGAAACGTAATTTCTGGAAGTTCAGCTGGCCAATGAACGACAGTTTGAAAGGTTCTCGAACTCCCCATATTATATAATTAACGCCCTAGGACAACATGGACCTTCTGCTTCCTTGATCTTTCTCACGCAATTCTACCGCGAGCTTGAACGCATGAACCACGTGCATTACACATACTTCATTGGGAACCTCTTCCAGGTCGGAGCCATCGTCAAAAACCATTGATAAGTACTCACTGAGGCTGAAAACGAAGGAAGTAGTTAAGTATTCCCTGAGAACAATATTGAGTAAACAGGCTATAGGAAAAAAAAGGTTGCCGTTAGTTATGGTAGTAAAAACACTGCTTATACTTCATTACAAGGTCATATACTTTTGTTTGAAAGAACTTTTGCTCTGTAGATTCATCAATGCTTTACGCAGGAATTACCTCAATTTACTTCTTGTGTCTTCTTCATGAGCCAGCACTAAAGTGATGACCTCGACAACTCTACTCAAAAACAAATCAACATTCATTTTTTTCAATGTTACACTGAAGCGTGTGACTGCAAGTCGCGGTAACTCTTGTTTATAAATTTCTGGTATCTTCTCAAATGGATCCTAAAGAAATTGAAAAATATAAAATCGGTTTAATTTGAACATACAAATAAAATCACGGTCGAACCTACTAAAAATATTGAAAATATTGGGTGAGAAAGGGATTACATTCATCAAATTTGATTACATTTTTCTACAAAAAGGTACCTGTTCATTCTTAAACAAGAATTTTGCTCGCGCCACGGCCAGTGTGGACCACAGATCCAAAATGTGACCCACACAAAGAAAGATAACAATAATGTATATAGTCCTGCAAAGAAACTCCATACATCCGTGGAGTATGTTAAGCCCTTGACAAATCAAAAGTCTCTAGCGGTATTCTGTCAAGATTCGCAGAAGAGGGGATTTGTTCCCCGGCCATCCATTTAAAGGCACAAAGAAGCAGTAAGTAGATATGAACTAAATTCAATGAACGTAATATGAAGTTGAGCAGGATGTTCAATTTGCATTCCAAGCAAAAGATTGATGAACTCAAGTTTAAGCGAGACCGGAGTTTGACCATAAGAGGCTGTCTTTCATTGCTTCGAGACCGGGAAGTATTTGTCAAGAAGGCAAAATTTTCCTTTGTTCAATAGAATGAAGCAATATTACATATCTTTTTACTCTTTAAGTTCGACTTTCCATCACTGAGACGAAGAACGTTCTTGAGATAATCAAAGATTTTTCTCTCTGGATCTCCACCTGCTGTAGACAGGAAACCAATTGCCATTTCCAGGGTTAAGAAACTGACACAGCAGCTAAATGAGTGCGCATGCTTGAAAATTTACGCGCGAAAAGGAATGGGAATGACAATATTTCCATGGTAACACTATAGCGACGATATGGCGGCATTTTTAAAATTCATCTTGTTTGTTTTTATTTGGCGAGGATAAGCCCTAGCCTTGACAGATAACGTTCCCACTTTCAAGAAAGTTTCTTTCGAACCTGCTCTGCAACATATCTTTCCCAACAAAAAAATATTCAGGGCACAGGTATGAATTTTAGTATTGAAGTGGAGCGGTCGTGACATGGCAATGAACTTCGTAGCCCTCTGTATTGTTATAGCACTTGTTTTCATCGTCTCCCCAGTATGGCAAACTGCCCGGCCAAAAGGTTTGTTGTTTGGGAGAAAAAACACGCCAGAGCTCTTCTTGTAGAGGAAGCATAATTGCCTTTAACACTGAAATAACTCGTGACGGAGGTGAAACCAGGAAATGTTGTCTGAATGTCACTATCAGAAATTCGAAAAAGGAGCAACACCTGATCGTGCCCACTACTTTCACATTCTTCCCCTCTGAGTGATACACCTATTCCCATGAGACAGTACAAACTATTTGACAATGCTGGAAAAAGTGAGGCTTGTTAACAACCAGGGACACTGTGGTGAACAAGTTGTTGGAGCAATGCTGACAAAACATGTGCCTCAAGGACCATTTTACTTTAGGTAGTTATATTCAAAGGCTTTCATTTCCTGCTGGATAACCTGGGTTTACATACTTCACCCATTTACATAATAAACAATAAAGCAAATGATCACCTTGTTTCCATGAGAAGATCAATAACTTAAACAAAAAAACATTCATGCAAAATGGAGATGGGTGCCATGCAAAATTCAGCAGGAGTGCCAAGCAGATTCGACAGATGGCCAATGTGATTAACAAGCTATGACAGTTAAATGTATGCTGCAAAACTAACTGCTCTACCAAAATTCAATAGCTCCACAAAGAGAGTCAGGAAATTGGTGCACAGGCTGGTAAATCCAATTTCTCAACATTAATCACAGTAAGTACCTTACTTATGCCTGGACATAATCTAGGAAAGGTAACCAATCCACCATATTGCTAATAATCATAGTTATGCTATGATTGCACCTGCAGGGTTAAACATCTCCATGATAACATCGATCAGGTAATAATATAACACTGATAAAGGTTCTGCACTGAGCTCACATTTTACAAGTAAACGCATGTTCATGAAAGTTCACACGGCAACCAGGCGGAGAATCAGACATGGTTTGATGCTACTCTGGTTTGCAGATTTAATTAATGTAACCGAAGAAGTTACAGTTGTAACTTCTTCGGTTACATGTTCATTGTTGAAAATATTTCTATATAACTCACAGAGCGGTCAAATACATTATTATTGCATTTTCTACATAATCTTGCAGAGCTGGTAGAAAAATTTCAGTCTGCATTGCACAGGCACTATGAGAGTGTGGGTCAATCTCTATACAGATCTGATGATATGCAGGCACTTTGTGAGACTTGTGCACCACATCTCTTTTACATCCTCATCAGTACAATAGTGGGTGCAGATAGACATGCCACCAGTGAGAGGCACTCACATTCACAGCAGCAAAGAATAGTTGCACTACTTCACAAGTAGCCTACCTGCCTAACGTTTTGCCATTAGAAGAATAAAAAATTATTACATTTTATATAATTTACAAAATTTCCATGTCAGCTTTATTATGACAGTGTCAGCAGTCACTGGTAAAAAAACAACCTTTGTTCTTGAGTATGATAACAGGATAATATGCAATTTCCCTTAGATCCCTGAAAACATCACAGCTCCAGAAATAAGCTAAAATGTTCCTTGATATTCATGGTTAACCAGGTCTGCACAGACTGCAGGGAGAGTCTTGGGCCTTAGCAGTGGAATATGTATGAATGACATGTTTAAACAGCAGCAGGCAAAACAACCATGAGGAAGTTGTGGAAAAAACTGTGCTGACAGCCTGCAGGATAAAGGAAAACAAATTAGAATGAAAAATAAACATAAAAAGACTTTTACAAGTCCCATGGTTTAACTAGAACCTAATTATACCACAACCAAGTGTTCCACACAGGACAACTCAAGAAAGAGGACATCAGGCCTGCTAGTTCGTGTAGTGTGATCGTCCGGGTGTGTGTAGTTCTGAAAAGAACTGTTGTTGGTGACTGACGTTTCGACTATCTGTGCGATAGTCATCTTCAGAGTCAAGTGAGGAGTAGTTGTCAGTCGATGATGTTATAAAGTCTGGTCTGTTGAACGTGATTGGTCTGTTTAGCCGTGATGTGATTGGCTGGAAGACTCGTGTAGAGTTTGTTAACAGTCATTGGTCGGTTTCGATCCGTCTGTTGTTTGTCGGTCTGTTTGTCGGTTTGTTCACGTCGTTAATGAGTCGTTTGTAAGGTGCTGGTAATTGTTGACATCTGTTGAGAGGCGTCTGTTCTAAGTTAGTGAACCAGCTTTCCAGAGTCAGTCGTTGAAAATAGTTTGTACTGTAGGTTAAGCATTTAGCAGAGTCCCAGTCGATTCTGTGATTAGTTTGTCGGTGATGTTCAGAAATGTGATTGTTTACATCGCCATTTCTAGTTGCTCGTTTGTGTTCAGTTAGTCGCGTGTTAAGGTTTCTACCAGTCTCACCAATGTAGGAGGCCTGGCAGTCGGAGCATTCGATCTTATAAATCGCTCCCTGTCTGTTGTTGGGTTCGTCTTTGTCTTTAACGTTGGTCAGCAAATGTCGTAAAGTAGTAATAGGCCTGTGAGCTACGCGAATGTTGTAAGGTTGTAGGATCCGCGCGATAGCCTCAGAAGTGCCTTTGATGTAGGGTATAGCAGCTGTAGTCGTGATAGATGTGGAGTCCCTGTTAGTTTCTGTAGTGTCGGTCACTCTGTGAGTGTTTCGTCTAATGAAGTCAGTGT